TTTTTTTTTTTTTTTTTTCTTCTTCACGGAACAATCCGTATCGAATTTTCCATTTTCTCGTGTTCACCCCGAATCGACGCGATTCCTAGTTAAAACATTTACATTTCGTTATACGAAAAAAAAAAAAGAGAAGCGGGACGGAAAAAAAAAAAAATTCATTCTTCGTTTAATTTTCAGTTATGTACAAGCGCGCGATTTTATTTATCGAGATAGTGTGCGGCACGAAAATTTTCACCGTTTATTACACGCGCCAGACAATCTCGCAGTTTCTGTTTATAGAGGGGGGGAGGGCAAATTACTTTCCCTCCTCCGGTATAACGCGACGAAATAGGTGAATTAAAAATTTCAGTCGTTTATAACGAACTGGGGAAGACAGAGATGCGTATTTGAAAAACGGATTGAACGAGAATTCGTATCCCCAATTCAGTGGATTTCTCACGAACGATAAGGTTCTTCCACGCCCGATAAGATTTTCGCGATTTTTCGACCGTGAAATAAGCAGATTCGATTGAACGATTTGCGGAAAATACAAACAACCGTGTCTGGGTTTAACCGCCCAACTACTGAACCTTGGATTCAGCTTCGATTGTCAATCTATTTTTTTTTCTCTTTCTCTCTCTGTTGATTCGTTACAAATTTACAGTTTTTTTGGGGAGGAATAAATAATACTCTTATTACTAAAAATTAATGAAATCAATTATAAATTAATTCGAAATAATAAATTATATCAATCTAAATTTTAATTTTGTTTCTTTTCAATATATAGATCTTAATCAAGTAAATTACAAATTTTGAAAAAATCTTTTAAAAGTGTTAAAAAAAAAAAAAAAGGAAGATGACTTATATTTCCGACTTGCACTCATCTATATAAAACTCTATGTTATTCTAACGTAGCATCGAGCGCTTTCTTTGATAGCATTTGTCGATAACAATTTTTCATCAAACGTATATATGTATATATATATATATATATATAGTATAATAATTTAGAATGGAGATGCGTTATTGATGAAGTGTCTCGTCTCCTGTCCTTCCCCGTTTCGACAGCTATTCGTCACACGGGGAAAAATTTTATTAGAATTATATATGGAAAAGTTCCGACGTGCGCGTAACTATAAATTCTATTCCTCCCTGACGCGTACGGAACATGATTTACCGTTATTACCGGCGTTTCGATACACGAAAGAACTGGGCGTGATATTTATGCACGGCCATTAGTCGAGTTAATTAATTTCAAGTATTGCAAACGTGATATTTCATCTCTGACAAAATGCGTTATTACCGAATTGCAATCCATTTGTTTTGCCGCAAGGTGGAACACGCGTATCTCTTACCATTCAACTTTTGTAAATTTCGAGCCGAAATTCAATTTTGCTCGTGATTAATTTTCCGTGGATTTTCTTTATCAGATTCATATTTCGGGTATGAGATTTGCTATTTTTTTTATTATAAACACGTAGAAATACATTCGAGAATAAAATACTGGAGAATTGGTTTTTATTTCCCATCACACATTGAGAGTGGCAATTATTCGCGAAAAATAATTCTCGAGTTTTATTCACGAATGTATTCGTATCCTGATTGGATCGGTGTCGATCGTTGAATCGAAGATTGCTTTGAAAAATATTCAAAATGTTTCATTTCTTTTCGAAATCGTGCGAAAATTTTATTTCTAATGGAATTTTCTTCACATTGGGTGAAATACGAATCGAAGGGTCATGAAAACTCACCGTTAAAATCAAGGAACAATGTGATTGCAGAATGGTGGAGCCAAAGATGGCTACGACATGAATCTTGGCCCGGCGTGGCAGAAAGGTTACACTGGTAAAAGTGTCGTCGTTTCGATCCTCGACGACGGAATACAGACGAATCATCCGGATTTGGCGTTGAATTACGATCACCAAGCCAGCACAGACATCAACGACAATGACAATGACCCGATGCCAAGGGACAATGGCGACAATAAGCATGGAACTCGCTGCGCCGGTGAGGTCGCTGCTGTCGCTTTCAACCAGTATTGCGGCGTTGGAGTCGCGTATAATGCCAGCATAGGAGGTAAAAGAATTTGTTTTTATAATTGTTTGGAATAAAGATCAACTGATTTATTTTAATTTTGCGTTTGGAATATATTGCTATCGTTTGTTCTAATAATAATAAAAACTTGCATTTCTTTTATAAGTTATTGATGTAGAAAAAAATGTTATTACTTGTACTTTTCTATCTAGAATTCTGCAAGTTTATTATTCTTGACAGAAAGTCGTCATTATTAAAAAGATGGAAAATATGTTTTTGAAAAATAATTTTTAAATACAGGATAGATAATAATTGTTTTATAAACAAAGCATCATATAAAAAATTTTGGAAAAATTTATTTAAAAATTTGATCGATCCACTAACGATAGAAATAATTAAAATAGTTATCATCAATAATCCCTATATATCGAAAAAGATTTCTGATTTCAATTTCTCAAGTTTTATTTATTTATAATTTTTTAAAATTAGCAAAAAAAAAAATAAATAAAAAACAAAGAAATGCAATCAAACGTAGCAAAATTTTAATATAAAATCTCTTTTTCCTCGATATCGAGTAACTTTCATTCCCTGTAATTTCATTCACAGGCGCTTAATCGCGTCTAAACAATCTCATCGCCTGTTGCGAACATTCTTACCACCGTTTCGTGCATTCTACGTTCAATTTCCTCCTGTTTCCCAATGACAATTACCCGAGTGTCACTCATTCCGCGTATCGAGCCGCCAGTTTATAAGTCGTTTTCGTCGTCGCGGGAATATCGGGTTTCGATAATATTATCGGCTCGTTTCCATTAAAATGCGTGTCAACAGCCCGTGTTCGATTTAACGCGCTCGAAATAACGTATAACAGCATCAAAGTGGCCGCGTTTCCCTCTCATGGAATTCAATGAGTAAATTGAATAAGGAGAAAGTGAAATATAAGAGAAAGATGGAATATAAGAAAAGTATAATCATGGCCAATAGAGCTTTGTAACGTGTTACGAGATTAAAAATAAATAGAGTGAGAATTATTAAAAGTAAGTTTGTTGCTATTTTTCAATTAATATAGATTGAACTAGATAAATGTATCAGGTCAAGATATATCAAAGCTACTGATGCAAACTACAAACAAATTCAAATTATATTAAATAAGAAGATTTCCTCTTAAATTATTAAAATCCAATCTAATCTTAGCTTCCTCTGATCATCAACTAGAATTCCACTTTTTCGAAATTAACTCCAAAGATTCCAAAGCGAGAAGAATTTCATAGACTAAAAATTTAATTTCAATGAGAAGGAAACGTATTTATATTATCCATATCTATCAGGCGTTCGAATGCTCGATGGCCCGGTTAACGACGCCGTCGAAGCCAGGGCGTTGGGATTGAATCCTGATCACATCGACATATACAGCGCTTCTTGGGGCCCGGAGGACGACGGCAAAACCGTGGACGGTCCCGGTCCTCTTGCCAGGAGGGCGTTTATCTACGGTGTAACTAGCGTAAGTTGCGTTTCTTCAAAATTTATTCTACATATAAACTATTATATAAACTCACCATTCCAAGATATTACCTTCTCGCGTTACGCATAAGATCCAAACGCTCTCAAAGACAAAGGTATCTCTCGTCGCGTAACCGATACTCCTAACTCCTGAAACGTGAATTAATTAATTATTCGCCGGACAGGGGCGCAAAGGCAAGGGTTCCATCTTCGTATGGGCGTCCGGCAATGGTGGCCGTCACACGGATTCTTGCAACTGCGACGGTTACACGAACAGCATCTTCACCCTGTCCATATCGAGCGCCACCCAAGGCGGCTACAAGCCCTGGTACCTGGAGGAATGCAGCTCGACGCTCGCCTCGACGTACTCGTCCGGCACGCCCGGCAACGACAAAAGCGTGGCCACCGTGGACATGGACGCGAAACTGAGGCCGGACCATATTTGCACGGTCGAGCACACGGGGA